TCTGACAAGGGACCTAGATCCTTAAGTAGCCTTTGGTGCTGTTTGAATAATGGTAACACCTGTCGCAATGCATCGTTGCCTGCTTTCGAACTAAGCAGCGAGTGAGCTATCAAACCTTCAATTAAATTCAGCTGCTGCTGAATCCGAGCACATTTCAAGAGTGTAGCTGGCGGAGCCTAAGCAAAATGAACAGTTGAGTAAAATCTTTAAGCAATCAATGATAACAGATTCTCACAGTGTCTTCTAATGGTAGCCTATTGGCTACCAAACGCTGCGTGCAAAGCGCCAGAAGTCGCTGCATTTCTCGCACATCGCAACCGAAAGGCCCGCGTTCATAAATGGCCAAACAATGGGCTACAAACTGCACCAAACATCCGAGATTATCCTTTATATCCAATTGCTCATCTTTAACAACCACTAAACGATCATAATTTATAGAAAAGTCAGTGTCCACATCATCTGCGGACTGATCTGTAGACGGCGTATTGAAGAATCCACGGAAATGGAAATCCACAAACTGCAGCACATGAGGTACTAACTTTGCATTCAGCTCCACTGCGCGCTGAAGATCTGGAAAAAAGAAAGCCGTCTTTTAGTGAAGTGGTTCTGATTACTGGCGTCTACTTACTCTCGTAAAGAGTGCATCGTATGCCCAATTGCTGTTCAAAGCAGCTGCGCAATATTCCGATTATCTCCATTGTCAGCATATCGAAATTACGCTGGGGATTGCTGCGTGTGGCAAAGGAGCTTTGCGTCATCATGGAGTACCCGGAAATGCTGTGCTGAGTGCAAAAGCTGCTGGCATTTTGAGACTGTCGAGCCGAGTTACTATTGTTCAGCTGTTTCAGAATCATGCAATACCCAAAGATAGCCATGCGACGTGTTCTGTAGTCTCTGGAAGCCAACAAATACATAGTACATATATTGAAACAGTAGGCGAATATATTGTAAAGGGCATACTTTGTCATGGCTTTGCGTAGCACTTCAATCAGCGCATCCCGCACGCGATTCGAAAGCTTTAGCAACGGCAAAATAAAGTTCATCATGCGCATGGATTGCTCTCCGGGTAGCTAAAACAAAAAACAAATGGGAATTTTCAGTGTGTTAATAGTGCGTAAAAATGAATTGACTAACCCACAGAAAATCTTCCATTACAGTTGTAATTGTTTCCAAACACTCGGAGACTGTGTATGTGTCCGCAACACTTAGCATGGTTAAGCATTCTATAAAGTTTGAATAATAAGTATAACAATTTATATATTTCAAAAAGTTAGTCACCAGAAAACTGATTCTGCTCCTGATCCACGACCATCCACTCGGCTATGCGCTTAATTATTCCCTGGCCAAACATAAAACGTCGTCTTATGAACTTGGTCAAAAACGTAATAGCCAATGTATTCAGCTTAGGTGCATTGTGCGCTTTAAGCAACGTAAAAGCCAAGTTAACCAATCCGGGAGTAACCACATCTTTGCCATCTTTATTTTGGTCAATAAGCACTGTAAAAACCTGCAGCATATCTACATGTTTACGCTGGAGCGTATCCCGGCACCAAACAGAATACTGAGCCAACGTTTGTTCCTCTTCGTTGTTGCGAATGACATTGCGGAGAAAAGGTAACAGTATACAGCTCGAGAAGCGCGCGGATTCTGGATCACGATTAACAGCTGTCATCGAAATGATAGCGCTGAGCATAAATGGAGTTAGAATGACATCAGGCATATGTAGAAAGTTCTAAGTATGGTCAGGAATTGGTTAATTTTTGGTATACATAATATGATGTGCAGCTTACTCTGAGCATAATTGCTACTTGCTGCTCGCTAAGCAAGTACATGGTGCAATAGTTCAAATGATGTAGTACAGTCTCCTCCGCCTCGCGCAGCTCCTTGTCAGAGTAGGCATCTATAAAAAAGGGCTTAGTATAAAGAGCGCTAGAGTGATTTTACATGCGCACCGATGCTATCGAAATCTGTGGAATTGCTGCACATATCCGAAAACAACTGCTTATAATAGTTTTTATGAAAATACTTTTCCAGCGATAATAGAGGTATTATAAGCTGGGCAGCGCTTGTGCACATGGAAAAGAGTTGGTAGCACAGCGCAGGCAGCTCCATGGGTGACAGTTCCTGCAGGGCGCCTGCAAATTTATTTAGCACAGTCAAACGCTCACTAGAGGTCAGTTTTAGCATACTGCAAGGCAAAATATTGTAATTAGTAAGCTAAAAGCATGGAGATAGAACCAACCTAAACATATCGGCAATGGGCGTCAGAATAGTAATAGGCCAGCGCATAGTGCTCAAATTACGAATAGTGCTATCTCGAAACTCCTGTCCCGTCATGGCGATGTCATTAATTAAGAGGCGTGGCTTGACCGAGAGCACGAGCAACGTCTCTGGCAACAAATCTTTCCAGGCTACGCACTTGGCATCACCGGCTCGCATATCATCCATGCAGTGCTCGATTATCCAATTCAGCTGTTCCGATGTATAGGTGTTTAAATCCTGGCAGAGTCGCGTTATTAAGTCCACGCTTAGCTTGTAGCCCATCTCCACGGTGCGCAATCCATCTAGAAAGCAACGGACACAGGCGAAGCGCTTCTCCTGCGTATCCAAGCTGTTGCCATCGTAGGCGAGTAGAAGATAATTCCAAAAATTAATGAAATCCTTTTTGGGCAAACGGGCGGTCAAAACTGCAGTTAGCTGTTGAATTGATAATTAATGGAAGCAACAAATTAATATTTACAAACTAATTAATATTGAAGACTTCATTCTTACCTCCCTCACGTTCGTTTTCTTGATCAGCTCGCGGAGCTCCTCAATTTGGTTTTTTTCGCCCAGTTTACATACTCGTACGTGCAAGGCGGCGTTCATGTTGCTTCTTTAGCTCAAATATTTTATTTATATTACAGTAAAATCTGTTTTAAATTTAAATTATAGAGTTATGTGCAACATTTGGCGCTGTTTTGTATATAGTGGTGGAAGTTTTATATTGCAAGTTCCCATTATTGACTGTCGATGTGCTACCACAATTCATCGATAGATCGCTTTGCGTTCATGTGTAAATTAGGGTAAGTCTGTTCAGTTAATTTGCAATGTTTATTACAATTTCAAGTACTCATCGATTATGACATAAAAAGGCCCACTAAACTTAAAACTGTATAATTAAATTGTTCTTCGAGATCATATATCGGATTATAATTTACAAGTTAACCGAATTGCTTAAATCTAATAAAGTGTTATCGATGACTCACAACTTTATTTAAATCTACCGCCAGTTTCTGCCTTATCAGAAACCACCGACAGTGCAGAAACTAAATGGTCTGCAATGAATTTAAAAAGGACATATATAATGATTTTCACAAAACTCGAGTTTCCTACATTCGATTAAGATAATTTGAGTCGTAGCGTTGTATTTAAATTATTTTTGGAAGAAAAGCATATTTACATTATGTACAATTGTGAAAGCAAGATTTTCTATAATACCACAAGTTTAAAGCTAATTTACAAATTTTTAGTTAGCCGATTACAACTATATTTATTGTTAAACTAATTTAGAGTGCTATATACATACATCTAGCTACTTCTAGTCGGTTGTTTCCATCTTGAGCACAAACTTGTCCATTATGGCATTAAGGCGTTTACGTTCCTTCAGCTGCTGTTGCATTAGATCTGAGATTTGCGTGCCCATTGCCAAAAGAGCTTCTGTATTCGCTTCGGTACGCTGGGCATTTAGTCGAGTTTGTCTGTTCAGCTCTCTCAGCTCCTTGGCTATGTCTAGGAGCACGGTACTGCCACTGAAGCCAGCTCCACTTCCTGATCCATTAAGATCCTCATGCTCGAGTTTTCGTTTCTTGGTTGTGGAATTTTGCTGATGAATCTGCTGCTCCACCTTGACTCCAAGATCACGCACGCTGATTGACTCTGCAGACGCACCGTCGTCATCATCTTCTTGTTCATCGTCTTCTAGAGTTTATAGAGTTTATTTTCTAGACTTTCGTCAAAAGGGACACAATCTTACCATTATCGGATGGGTCCTCATCCTGATCTGGTTTGATGTCTTGCAGTCGCAACTTAGGTTTCGGCTGTGACTCAACTATAATGTCTGCCATCTCATACAGATCTGTAATAGTTGCCACGGCATCCTCCAGAGGGGTGAGCGTATCCTGGTATAGAGAACTTTTCCCAGCGCCATTTGGCTCCAGCCTATTATTCGCTATTTTCTTCCGTATGCAGCTCTTCCAATCCTTCCAAACCTTCAGATAATGCATGCCATTATTTCATTTAAGTTTATGTGTGCTACCCAACCTACCCGCTTCCATTCGGCAGCTTCTTTAACTGGCGGTCCCACACTGTTTAGCTCCTTGCTTAATCTTTGCCAAGCGGCTTCACTGGCCAATTTGTCGCCCTTGTAGTAGTTTTTGGCTATGATGGGATGTCTTTCCATGAATGCAACGAAGATGGCATCCTGCTGAGCCGTCCTGTGTTTTCCCCTGCAACGTTAAACATAATTTTTTGATATTGTTTAATAATTTGCTCAATTTTATTTACATTTTGCAATATTGATTATTTTCTCGCACTGTCAAGTGGTATCTAAATGTTTTGATAGTAAATATATCGATATATTTTAATTTAAAAGCGTGTGGAGCAGCCGTATGGAAGGTAGCCCTGGAAAGTTTAAGCGGGTACTTTGAAAATCCATAAACGTTTAATTGGCGGTAATTTTTGAATTACTATGGTTATTCCATTTGGATTACCAGCAAAATATTTGACTATTAAAATTGCACAATTTTACTCAAATACATGCACAAACAAATGTATTTGATTCATGATTTTTGTTAAGGATTTGCACAACATTCACTGCTTTGTGCATTATTCACTCTGATCTAAATGTCGCATATCTTATCAGTAAAATTTGTAGTGAGGGAAGTACAGATAAGCACTTTGCGGAGATTACAATACTCATCGTCGCTACTCCCTATATAGGTTAGGCACCTGTGCGCCCAAAAGCGAACAATCAGTACGAATAGTTTAACAGGTGGAATAAGGTAAAACCGAAAGGTACTTCAGCGGTTGTGCAAAAAATAATCTACATAAGATATATATATATATATATATATATATATATATATATATATATATATATATA